TATCGACTCAAATTATTCAGCAAGAATAATTTCAAAGTGAAGCATGGTGTAAATTAGAAATGTAGTGATAAGAAAAAAAAGTAAATTTATTATAAAAGACGTAATTTATAGAGTTTTGTGTGAGGTGAATCAGCGAAAGGGAGTAATTACATTATTCTTCTGAAATATTGAAGACGCTAATTTCTTTAACTTAGAAAGGCTCCAAGTTTTTGTGTAGTAAACAAAGCTTTTACAGCTACTCAGAATGAAGAATATTAAATTAGTTTTCTACTTTATGAATGATAGCTGTCTATTTAAATTTATTTAAATAAAAATATTTCTTACAACTTGATGGAATCAAATGTAAACAAAACAAAGGTCTAAAAAGGAAACAAAACAAAGGTAAAGAAAAGTAAGCAGAATAAGTACTGAAATGGTTTGTCTTGATTTTCTAAATGTAAATCTGGGCTTAATCAGTGATAACTTTCCATTATTTTAATACATTGGTACCGCACTAAAAAATATAATTTGAGCATTTTGCTCTTTATTTTGTTCATGTGTGTTGGTTGGCTAATACAAATTCGAGATGTTCATAAAATAATGTTGGAGCTAACTCTTTTTTAATACTTTCGCTAGTGATAATAAATGGTGGTCTGTGAAACTGAGGCCCGCAATAAGGCGAAACTGAGGCCTGCTCTAACTGAGGCCCGCAATAAGGTTAAAGAAATTTTTATTTTTATTATTTACGTGCTCCAGTCTTAGTCACTACACGGAAGGAAAGGATGCCTTCCTGGAGGGCTTTCGTGGAAGGGAACCTATCTCGTACACATGGAGAAAACCATAAAAATGCCCATGCAGCCAGTTCGTTAGCGGGAATCGAACCTCGGACCGAAATACCAATGTTTAGCGACTTTACCACTCGGTCGCTGATTGACAACGAAATTTTTATTGCCATTATTATTACCCATAATTTTCTTAAATGAGTATTTATTGCAAAATATATTTTTATGTCGCATATTGCTCCACATGCAGTATATTTAGAAACTTTTGCTAATGCTTAGCTTAAAATCGACTTCCATGATTTTGTTCATTCACCTGGATAGGCAATTTTTTCTTTTTAACTTATGTTAAAACATTAAGGTTTTACTAAAATATATTTAAATTTAGGATTTCTTATAAGAGTAATCTCTCATTTTATCTCGTTACTAAACATTTTTAAAAACTGTTTAGAAATATATTTGGAGTAATTATGACTACTATCCTTAAATAACCCATATATGTTACTTTAGGGAATGTTTCTGAAGATTTGCTGATTACTGTTTTCTGCGGCTTCAGTGAATGTTAAGCCGATTTTGTATTAACGAAGTAATCATATTTGTTTCCGACAGCTTCACTGTGGTTTCTAAACGTTGATTTATGCTTTTTTTTTTTTTTTTTTTTTTTTTTGTGTGTGCTTAGTTCAGAAAAAAATGAGTTTTAATATTTGCTTGAATATTTTTAAAGTTCGTTTTAATCGTTATAAACTTTGTTATTCTCAGTTTAAAAGTAATAAAGTTCTTGAATTTTAAAGGTCCTTTGAGCGTGAAATGGTTTCAGTCGTTATTAGAGAATTATAGGTCACAGATTTTTGAAAGATTTTTAAAAGCATAAAACTTTGTTTAATTTTGCATTCGTGCAAATTACAATTAAAGAAACATCGTGCGACATGATGTTGTTGAGTCATTAGGTTATTTCGAAGTAGGAGTCGTGAAAAATGAGCAATGTCCTCGCCGGGATTCGAACACGGAACTCTCGTATACTCGGCGAGCGTGCTGACCACGACACAAAAGCATGCTAAGAAGGCCAGAGAAATACCTTATAAAGTAAATCAAAGAAGCAATATAAAATTTGATATAAAAAGGACAATTATATGTGTAACTTTAATGTTTCACTGAATTTACAGACTAACAGAGTCCAGTACTGGTGTCGGCCACTTCGCTATACTTTAAATGAGAGCTTCTCAAGGTATAATTTGCGTCTTCATAATGGGATAACGCATTTCCGTATGACTTTAAATGTTAAGTGAATTACGTGTCCTGTGTTTGCTTTTATCGCCATCATGTGATGGTAAACTGACCATAGATTTTTGACAGCATTTGACTCGAATTACCATATCAAGCGTTATGAGCTTTCGTTTCTCCTGCTCCGAAATAAAATGCCAAACGTCTCTACAAGCTTATTGCTATGTACGTAGTACGGTGACTCTAAAACAGACGAAACTTATATACATTATTCAAATTGAAAAAAATAATTTATTACAGATTGGAATGAGTATAAATCTGATGTTGTTGATTTTTTCCTCTGTAATAAATTGTGCTTTTAAACGCGTATCATTCGTTAAATAGCTTTGTAAAAATTGATCATTTTAACCTATTACCTGAAGTAAATAATTGTAATATATTTAATACATTAAAATATAAAATTGGAGGTTTCACTAAAAGAGTGATCATATCGAAAATTATAGTGGAAAACGGATCTTTTGCTATGTTTATAATTATAGACTTTTTATAAACTGAAAACATATTTCTAAATATTTAATTCTAAAATGTATTATTGATCATATGAAGTGCTTTGAGATAAAAATTCAAAAATATTTTCTTTCGAATTTTTATGTTTAAATTACAACTGAGTTCATAAGCCACAGTTGAATTAATTAACGTTAGTTATTTACAACTCAGTGCCGTCTGCCGTGCTGCCGAGAGACACAAGTTGAAAACTTAAATTTTCCAAAAAACAAAAAAGTCATTTAATGAATTTTAGAATTTCCAACGTTTTCTGAAATATCCTTAAACATACTTCTGATATATCCTATTACGCATTTATGCGAAGCGGCATTTTCAGCATTGAAATTTACAAATTCAAAAAATCTATTTGATAAAGGATTAAACCAAAACATTGAAGAAGCCGCAGATATTGAAGAACGTCTACATTTTACAGCATCAGACAGTCAACCAAGATGTAAGTTTATGTAAAACTAAATAAGTGCACTCAGCCCATTAGCATGAATATTCTTGCTTTTTCTTTAATATATGACAAAATGATGTCCGTATGCATAGAAACTTATTTTAATGTTTTAATATCAGTAAATTTTATAACTCATAAATTCCTTGTTGTGCGCTTTTATACTCAAGGTCGTAAAATTAATGCTTGAGTAACGAGAGTTACCAAGTTGAAAGGTTTGAGAAAATTCGCCTTATGCTGCGGAAATGCGATCATTAGCTTATATTTCCTTATGCTGTCAAGCTCATTCCTTATAATGTCACCTTAACTGAATCATGAGCCAGAGCTTCCATTAAGCAAAGATGGAAAAATCTCGAAGATATTTCATGCATGGGACTAATCACCCACTCTCAAGCCTCTCTAACACACTAAAATGTAATAAACCTTTGAAAGGTATAACAATAAATGCAATATTTATTGAGTTCTTTCTCAAATTTGGCAGAATTCATGATGTAAGAAATTTAAAAGTTAAAAATGTATTAAATAAGTACAAAGTTCTGTAAATGAATTAAAACTCCCTTTTTCAATTATATCCACTGAAAATAACTGATCTCAACCGAACCATGAGCTTAGTGGGTCACTTATTTCCCATACCGACTGATTCCAAGAGTTTACTGCCATTCTGATATGTTTAGAAATCCCTGAGGATCGAACCTGACATAGTAGTCATATCGAATGCCCGCTCTAAGAGATTGATGAGGCAAAGATCTTAAATAAGATGATGGGTTCCTGTGATATTAAATGTCATATGTAGCATTTTCGAGGTACTTGTTGAGATGTTTACAATTTTTATCTCTTTTTATACTGTTGAAATTCATTTTCCAGCTGCAAATTGAACTCATTTGCTTGTTGCTTGTCGTGTAACAAACATGGTAGTACACAGAAGATTTTTAATTGCGATCGGAAACCTTGATGAGTTTTCGGTTCTTTTTAAAGCATCGTTTATTACTGTATGCGTAATAATGTTAAAAATACAATATTGGAAATCTTATGAATCATATGTGTATCATGTTACGTATATATCTATGAAAATACACTTTTTGAGCTAGGTTTGAACATGCTGCTGAACCCTTTGAAGGCCAAAACTCCCGAGAAGGCCTTTCATTTAAACGACCACAACCGTCTGAAACAGCGGAGGTTAAGATGTTGTTTTCTACCACAGCGGAGGTAACACAGCGGAGATACGCAGCTGCGGGTGCAGTTTACCCAAATGCATTGTATCAGTTTATTGCCCACAGCTTGTCCTAAAATTCTAATGCAAGTTTAGTTGCTAGGAAGTAGAAAGGATGTCATTTGAAATCTTCACATTTCTTTGTGCATTAATAGACGAGATAGGAGGAAACGGACGAGATGGGTAATGGATGGGGACGGGCATTTCGTTATTTTAAGCATACAAATTTGCTAAGGCTTTGGTTTGCTAAGGGTTAATAATAGTTTTATTGAATAAAAGCCTGCACATCCCTGATCAAGAGCATATTAAAATTTAATTTTAATCGAATAGTTCAAATACATATATTGAAAATTATGGCAGTATTATCTACTGTTTATAATTTTCTCTCCATTTTGCAATAAATTCAACTATATATTTGTTTACATATACACTGATATGCTACTTTATGTTATTAAATCGCATAGTTACTTGTGAAATGAAACTAAGGCTTGAATATCATAGAAAGAAAAAATGAATAAATATAGCAGTTTTACCCGATATAGCAATTTAATAAATATAGCAATCCTAATTCTCAGGCGTATTGCAATATTTCCTAAAATCGTATTTCTGTTACCGAAAACTATACTTCCCGCATCGCAGTTAAATAACATTTTCGCCGATCATATCACAGAAAGTGAGAAAACAAAGATGAAATTTTAAATTCGTATGCTAGACAAAAAACACAACGAAAAGCACAAAACAGGATACCTTATAATAAAATATAAAATAAAGTTCAATCATCGACAAAAGTATTTGTTCATGTGAAACTTACCTGAATTCTAGAAACCGGTTTTTTAAATATAAAAGCATATAGGAATTTTTGTATCTAAATAAATCATCCGAGTAAATAATAACACCATTCTTTTCCATTGTTATAAATCCAATTTCCAGAGAAATATTGTCCATTTTCATCCAACTCGAGAAGTTGAGATGTACCACATTCGGTGAAGATTGTTCTTTGGTCATATAGCCTGCAGAAAAATAAGGAAAAATTTATTGTAAGATGAGAAAAAGTAGTGCTTCTTTTCTTAACGATTTTAGAAATTAGATAATATTTTATATATAAGTAATGCTTAATCTTTTTCTCTGAAACCCTAGAAAATCAAGCAGAAATATGGAGAGAAATGAAAATTGTTTTCGTATTCAAGGAAAAACAAATGAAATTATTTTCTCGGATTGCAGATAAGTAACACTATTTACAATATTCATTTGTATTGCAAAAATATCTCGCTTTAGAATACAAGTGAATACATTTGTGTCACGAGAAAGGTTTTCTTAATATGATATTAATAATATGATTGTGAAGCAAATTTATGATAAGCATAGTAATAAGAAAACAGTTGATTAATTATGCTTATTAATTAAATAATTACTGTTTCATATTATATCTGTACTTTCTTAATTGTTTCCTTAAAATTCAATCTGTATCATAAATGGCATAGATATAACGATGTATATCAAGTAAAACAGAGCGAAGAAAAATATTAAGAAGGCCTAAATATTTTTATTTAGTAAGGTCATAAAATAAAAGTAGTTTATATCATGATAGGAGCATTTAAAAGTGCTGTGACATCGATTTGGCAAGCAAAATGTTTGAAATTTGTAGGATTTGGTACTGTACGTTCACGTACACAACCATTTGTCGAAATGGAAGTCAATGAATAAATAGTCTGTACAAGTAACAATGTAGAGAGAAATGGGGAATATTTTGACAACGAGATATGAGCTTGGCTTATGTAATCACGAAGGCAGATACTGCACTATATGATTTCGATTTCGCATTAAATGACGAAGAAGAATTTTGTCGCTAACTTATAGAATATCATGATTTTGAAATATTAAACAATATTCATTTTCAGCGCTTACTTACTATATTTATTAATATGCGTATAAATGTTTGCTTTCTACTTTTACTTGAGTTGAAAGATTTAAAAACATTAATGCTACTTATAAGTATTCAAATGTATTTAATTAATTTTAGTCTAATCGTCTTCATTTTAATTCGTCATTTGATTCAGCCATAAATTCCACAAATCTTAACTAGCTATTGCATTTTCATTACTTTAGGATTATTTCAATAAAAATAAAAATTTTCTCTTAATTTACCCTTCAGCAGACATATAATATTTTTATCTCCTACTTTTATTCTGATGTACCTATTCCTATATTTAACAATGTTTAGAAGAAACGCATAATATATACCCTCGAAACACCCCCTGGGGGTGCGTACACTGGCTTAGTATTTTACTATGACATTTTGCGTGGCACAATAACATTACCCACCAAAAAGGGCAACCTATGCTATCTTAGACAGTTGTGGCTTAGGATATCCGAATGGCTAGCGCGACGGCCAGAAACATTGTGTCTACAGTTCGCCTCATTCCTTAGTGGTATCCTATACCTGCGGTCAGGACAAGCGCTTCGTGGCTCCTATTCATCTTTGCGGGGGCCCACCAGCGGCCGAGCGGTAAAGTCGCTGAACACTGGTAGTTCGGTCCGAGGTTCGAATCCCGCGAACGGGCTGGCTGCATGGGCGTTTTCGTGGTTTTCCCCATGTGTAACGTGTATACGAGCCAGTTTCCCTTAGAAAGTCCTCCACGAAAGGCATCCCTCCCCTTAGGCAGATAGCCCTCGTGTGCTTTGCCATAATTAAATACACCAACACCATCATCTTTGCGGGTTTAAAGAGATAGTTTTTCTTAAAAGTCTGAATTGCGGAATTGAGGTATCCGTAGCGTAGCAAGTGCTTTTGTATAATCCTCTTCTGAAGCTTTTCTATGGACATTGACCGGCCCTTCTGCCTAATACGAAGGTTGTTCACGGGCGTCACCTTAGTTTCAGGAAAGTAAACATAATTTAATTGATTATTATGATTTATTACTATGCTTATCCTAAATTAAAACTATGTATTTAAACACTCGAAAATAAAAAAAAAACAAAAACAAAAGAACATAAAATAAAATAAAGTAATAAAACAATCTAGATTTAAATAGTATCTGCCCCACATAAGAAAAATGTGCACCAACAGCGCAAAGAAATTTGGTTTACTTTTAAAAACATATGATTTTACTTCTCACTAAAGAGACTAGAAAGGTGGCTAATATAAAATAAATAAGTCATATACTTCAAATCAAGAACGGAAAGACACATTATGTCACGTGCAGTGCAGTTATGAGCAGTGCGAAAAATTATTGGAACGAAAGAATTCTACATGGAAGTGGATGTCTTCACTTTTCTCTTCTGGGATTAAAGCTAGAACATATAGAGGTTGCCGAACGTACACAGCATTCGTTTTCTAAATTAACTTTCAGCCCATGGACTTCGCAGAAGTAGTGGCCGTGCTCAAATGCTTAAAGTTTATATTTTAAAATAGAAAGCAAATTTTATCGTTTCCCGCTGTCTTTCGTTTTACAGACAGGTATATTTAATTTTTGCATATATTTATTCTTATAGCTTGCCAGTATCATGCTGCATACGAAAAACGCATGTATAGTTCAACTGCTCAAAAATGAACAAAAATAAATGTCAGCACATCATTTTTATCTGAACTTACATCAAAATGAACGTTTCGTATGGGCAAGAGAAAACAGTTTCGTTCATTTTAGGATACTTTTTAAAAAATAATTTCATTCTTTGTTGTCTTTCTGTTCGAAAACCAAATGTGCAAAAAAATTTAAATTTATGTTATCTGTAAAAGTTGTTTGTACTTTTTATCGATGTCATTAATATTGAAATAATATGTTGATTAACTTGATTTTCAGAATTCAAAAAAAAAAAAAAAAAAAAAAAAAAAAAAAAAAAAAAAAAAAAATCAAAAGAATTCCAAAGCCGGACTATCATTTTTAGATAAAGATGGCGAAAAATTCCAATCGCAAATATTCTTCGTTGAACCAGAACTTCGTTGAACCACAGGAATCGTACGAAAACTCATGGTTTAAATCTTTGCGTTTAATGTTTTAAATTAAAACATTAACAATTATGTATTAATGAAAGGAATGAAGAACCGCACCTTCCAATTTTATTTTAATTGCATTTAATAACTGTTATTCTTTTATTAACGACCAACTATCCAGTGATAATAATTTATGAAAATGCATAAATGGCTTTTGAATAAAATAAAGTAAAATAGAACCCTTTTGAAGCACCGATAATAACGACTTCTCAGAATTAATTTTTAGCAAGATTAGTTTTATTACATACCTAATAAAACTTTTTAATATATTAAAATTAGAATAATATTAAAAAAAATATGCAAGCTTTCATATTTTATATCACGCTCAAAGGGGTGTTTTTTAACGTTTGTGTGTTACTTTTATTTTTTAAATATCATGCTCTTCGCACTTAAACTATAAAATTTAATTCAACAGCAATAGCACAAAATATTTAAACGAGCATATCTTTAGAATTTCCGATACATAGTCTCGCGCGCTGGAGATAATTTTTTTTTGGGGGGGGTACAGTGTTACCATAGCTCGTTCGAAACATAGTTTCTTAACCAAAAACTCATAAATGCTCTAGATAATATGAAATAGATAGCGAAACAAATTAAAAATTCTAAATTTGGGATTCCAGATGCCTATATTCGGGGGGAGACGTACGTTATTCAAAATTTGACAGCTCTGTGTACCGTTGTTTTATCACAGTGTAAGAAACATACATGCATTTATGCAGATTCTTCATTGTTTAATTTCTTTAAATATAATACAGGGCTCTAATGTTTGATCGCAACAATTTAAAATGTGATTCATCGTTTATAGTAAACCAAGGCAAAATGCCAAAACGAAATTAATAGCCCTTCCGGGTAAATTGCCCCTTTGGTTTAAAATAAGAAAATTATCCAATCATATGCAAATTAATGTTGACTAATATTATAGCACTGATTTCTACTAATCAAAAATTTAACAGATAATTCGTAAGGAAAAATAACACAGTCTATGAATTACACATTTTCTAAGAGTTACCTTCAATCGCTTTCGGACGATGATAATTGAAATAAACTAAGACATTATTATTATGGGCTATTTCTATTAACACGTAAATGTAATAACGTAAAAAAAAAAAAAAAACAATACTTATCACAGAAACGTGAAATAATACTTTTATTTCCTTGTAAAAAAATATTGAAAATACGAAAGTTTCACAAAGAATAAAAGAAATTGCGCATGAGAGCATTAAAAATCAGCAAAGAATAAACTATTCAACAGTTTTCGTAGATTGTTTACTCAGGAATGAAATATTATCACGAAATGATAAAAAATGATAAAAAATGGTAAAACTAAACTTAAACCGTAGCCTACTTTAACCTTTTAAATAAAACCAAATCCTTTCAAAGTAAGATTAGTTACTCAATATTTTGTTGTTGTATCGATTCCTAAAGTCTATTCCGCAAATTAACTACTTGTATTGGGTCCTATCTCCTCACTGCAGGCCTTTAACTGAAAAAATGGTAAGTCTTTCATTACTATTATTTTAATTTCAAGTTAGAAAATGTAAATTTTGAAATTTTTAAACTATTTTAAAACTGATAATTCCGAGATATATTCATGGTCTTTTATATCTGTTTAATAAATTTATGAAGCAAATTCTAAGAAAGAAAGAAAAAGTAATTTATCACACTTAATTTGCATGTTTTACTTCAATGAAAAAGATTTAGAAATATTCTTCAATTTTATTTCTACAATTTAATGATTATACTGATTTAGGAATTGCAAGTAACAATTAAGAAATCTGAAATTTTAAAATTTGAGTCAAATATTTTTCGAAATGGGGAAAAAGAGAGTATTTTGGAATTTAAATCAGAAAGTTATCTCATTTCATTAAAAAATTGTTATTTAAAAGCGCTATTAAAATTATCAAGGTTGCGTAGTTATTAGCCTTTCTTTCTTATTATCTAAAGTCTGTTAGAAACTTTTTATTGAATTAAA